GGTTGTGGTGGTGTGTCCCGTCGGGAAAAGGGCTCTGGTCGTGGCGTCCAGGGTAAGCGGCGGCAGTGGTGAGGTCTCGCCGTTCGGTAAAGGCCCTGGACCTGTTTCCCAGCCGACATAAGACCGGCCCGTGTGTCTTGCTTGACTTTTTTTGTTTGTTTCTCTCCCGTTTCCTCCCAGGGCACAACAGCAGCTTACACCAAGAGCGGCTTCTGCGTCAACAGGTTCCCATCCCTGCTGCCGGGGGGGAACCGGCACAATTCAACGAGCGAGAAAGGTAACGGCGTGAGGAGGCTTTTGGGATAGAGAGAGGGGAACCGCCTGCTTCTCCCCTTGAGCGTGCGCGCCGGCAGGCTCGGTGCTGCTCCGGCCAGCTCCCCGGGTCGTGAAGCCGTGCCCTTTTCTGGTGCCGGGGGGAACTTAGCCTTGGGCCTGTTCCTGTATCTCTGGGGATAACTAGACGTGGACAATCTCAGATACTTTTGTGCTAGATAAGAACGTATTTTAATTAGCTGCCTGGTTAACTGACACTCTTAAGAAGACACTGTCTTCCGACAGAGAGCTGCGTACGGTGCCGCCTTTCTTAATACCTCTTGCAGTTGCTTTGCTTGTCCTGAGGAGGGGTTACTGTTGAGTAACAGCCTTTTTCTGAAACATGCCTTTGCTTGAAGTGCCTCCGGCTCTTCAAGCCGGTACCTTTGTAGCCTTGTTGGACTCCAAGCTAAAGGCTTTCTGTGGTCGCAGCTTCTGTTAGCAGAAGGGGGTCCCTCTGCACCTCTCGGCCTTACATCAGGGCAGGCTTAATGCAGGAGAGGTTTGACCTGGCGTTTGCCTGTTGGGTCGGGCAGTCTCTGGAGCGTGTCTGGACCTCCCTGTGTTTGTGCGCGCAGTGTACTGCATCTTGGACTGCATCTACAATGAGGCAAAGCAGACGTACTATATCCTCGATGTGATGTGCTGGAGAGGACACCCTGTTTATGACTGCCAGGTACTGAATCTGCCCCCTCTGCCCTGCCCTCCCTTTTGTTCCCTGTTCTGTGAGCTGCTTTGCGGCCAGCGCTGGACGTAGCCCGCTATGCAGTAGGATGGCTATTTCATCTAAGCGCCAGCATCCTTACAGCTTGTGGGCTGCTGGCTGCTGGAATAATTGGGTACATTTTTTGAGGGTATCGGGGGAAATAGCAGAGTCCGGGGTGCTGGCTGGTTCTGCAGGTGAAGCTGGGTTTGTAAATCTCCCAGGCAAGCGCAGAGGAATGGAGACGCTCGGCAGGTGCTGATCGGTGATGCGTGGTGGATAGTCATTAAGCCTCTGCCTCCTTTCACAGACCGACTTCAGATTCTTCTGGCTTTTCTCAAAGATCCAAGAGGAGGAAGGGCTGGGAGAGAAAAGCAGGATTAATCCAGTAAGTTCTTTTGTACTGGGAGGAGAAGGAGGATGGGGGGTAAGCTCTCCCGTTC